CCTAAACCCTAAACCCTTCAAGCCTTGAAGTTGAGGGCTTTACGGCTTCGGAGTGCTAAGAGCCGCTGCCTTTGAACGCCTAAGGCCAAAGAGAACGCAACCACAGCTGACAAAATATAGGGTTTAGGGGTTTAGGGTTTAGGGTTAAACCCTCAAGCCCTATAGTTTGGGAATTAAGATAGGGTACTATACGGATAATGGAAAAAAAAGAAACTGCTATAATGGGTTCATATAATGAGTTTAGGCCAGGGTTTGCGCTTTGCTTTTCAAAGTGCTGCAGCCGATCTAAACCCCGAAGTCTAAACCCTAAACCCAGGGTTTAGGGTTTAGGGTTACCCTAAAGCCTAAAACCCAAACCCTAAACCCCAAACCTTGAACCTTAAAACCCTAAACCCTAAACCCCAAAGCCTTCCAAAAGGGTGCGGTTGGGGGGGCGGCTCCAAGGGTTTAGGGGTGTGGGTTCCTGGGTTTCAGAGGGCTGCATGGCAATCTCGTCCCTCTAAAACATCGCCAAAAGGACAGATGCAACCAATGCGGCTGAGGTTCTCATTGCTGCGGTCGTACTTCTGCACTATGGGCCTAAAAAGTTCGAGCTTTGTTTGGATTAAAAGGGGTTCATGGAAAAGAACATGGAAACAACTGTTTAGGGTTTAGAGTTTAGGGCTGAAGGCTTATGATTTAAGGAAATAGTGGGGGGAGAGTCTAGCGGAACCATATGAAACAGAACATGAAAAAATAGCATGAGGACTGTGTTTGTAAAGGAGTGCATAGGGATTGTAAATGTAGGGGGGCGTAAGTAAAACACTAGGCTTCCGGGGTGTACTCTCTAAACTCTAAACCCTGAACCTTAAACCTAGTAAAGAAGCATAAAGGAAGAATGCTGGCTGCTCTAAAGGCTCTAAGGTACCCTGCGGCTCTAAAAGAAGTTCGGATTTTGAAAACAAAGGTTTGGGACTCCAGTGGGGTGTAGGGTGTAGGGTTTAGGGTTTGGAGTTTTGGTTTAGGGTTTAGGGTTTCCGGCTGAGGGTTTGGGGTTTAGGGTTTCGGGTTCGGGGTTTGGGAGTCCCTACACCCTAAACCACATTCGAGTATCTCCTTTGAAGCCATTCACCTGAACATGGGAACTTCTGAAAACTAGACGGCCCTGGAGGTCCGCGGAGGGATGTAGGGAATCTAGGCTTTAGGGTTTAGGGGAGGTTCTGGGAATGCTGATTGCGGATGATGCGTTGTGGATGGAGGAGATCTCGGACCATCTTCCATACTCGTCTGGGTGCCCGCTATAGAGGGGTTTCACGAATTTAGAGTCCGTTTTCAAGGGGTCCATGTAACAAGAACTGTCATGTTCGGGCATATAAGAGAACCTTTCATGTACACTAAACCCGAAACCCCAGACCCTAAATCCTAAACCCTAAACCCAGAATCCTAGCCCCTAAATCCTCAAGCCTAAACCCTAAACCCGGAATCAGAAATCCCAAATCCTAAACCCTGAACCCTAAACCCTGAACCCTAAACCCTAATCCCTAAACCTTAATCCCTAAAGTATAGAAGGGAACATGCGACGACTCCCGACTCCAGGATCTCCCTGTCGAAGGCGCGAGGAATAACTTGCTATTTGGTAGTTTCCCAAAATAGGGTATAGTCCCCCTTGAGTAAATAGAATATGGGGTATATAGTGTTTGGGGTTTGAGGTTTGAGGTTTAGGGTCATAGGCCCCCTTAAGTAGATAGAATATGGGGTATATGGGGATCTTGTTGTACTATACCCAACGCCATATTCTATCTACCCTCACGTAGAACACCCCAAATACTATTGTCCTTAGGGACCCCCAAAAAAAGTACCCCCAATATTGGCTCTTAATACCCCGAAGCTTGACACACTCCTGTGATTATGAGACCCCCCCACCATCCGTAAGTCTGAAGTGGGCAGCGACATGTGTCGAAATTCTACGGGTTTAGGATTTAGGGTGTGGGGGTTTCCCTACACCCTAAGCCCTAAACCCCTAAACCCCTAAACCCCTAAACCCTAAAATTTTTGGGGTTTACCCATATCCCTCCCTTCCTGAACCTTGAAAAACGGATTCCTCCCCCCACTCACCCTCACTATCAAATCCTTACCCCCCTGGGGATGCCAAAGCCCTAAATCACAACTTGTTACCCCAAGTTCCCTACAGTTTTACGGGTTATACCCATAAGCCAGGGGCGAACCCTAAACCTTACACCCTAAACCTCGTACTGAACAGGCATCTGGGGTTACAGTAACCTAGTCAAGGAATCTGACGTACAAATCCAGAAGCTGCCAGACAAGCGGGTGGCTGTTAAGGAACTTCGGTTTTAGGGCTTAGGGTTTAGGGTTAGTGAGGTGACTATAACAAAGAAACCCTACTGTGTACTGTATACCCATAATGTGGTAGGTTAAGTTAGGTTCCTTAAGCAGCAGCCCAGAAAAGTGGCCGCAAGATACTGCAGTATACTACAGGGGCCTAAATAATTACCAATATCACCTATATCCTATTAGAATATAGTAGTTTCCATTTTCTTTTCCATTATCCCGAAATAACCCCTAAATAATGTAGTATAGAGGTCCATTGAGGTACCATATACTATACTTATACAAGGAATATGGAACCATAATATTGGCAATTATTTAGGCCCCTATATAAGGCCCACGGAGAAAGGCGCTGCGTTCCATGGATTTGAAAAATCCAACACTATAAGCATGGCTTTGGAAAAAATCCACGGTCCAGCGTTTAGGGGTTAGGGTTTAATGTGTAGGCTGTTCGACCAGGTTCAGGGTTTAGGGCGAAGGGTCTAGGTTTTAAGGTTTAGGCTTGTTCAACCAGGTTTAGGGTTTGGGGCTAGGGGTTGAGGGCTTATGGCTAAGATCTTGGGGTTGAGGGTCTAAGTTGTTTTAACCGGGTTGAGGGTTTAGGGCGGAGGTTCTAGGTTTGAAGCTTTAGGTATTTTCAACCAGGTTTATAGGGTCTTTGGCTAAGGGTTTAGGGTTGAAGGTTTAGGTTTGTTCAACCACTTTCCCAGAGTCAGTGCCCTCGGCCAAGTCCACTGTCCTTTGGACGAAGACTACATGATGCCAACCCCGGACTCCAAAGCTTCAGTGTTTAGGGTTTAGGGAAAACCCCGAATCCTACTCCCTGAAACACTATCTGTCAGGACCAGTGTCTCCGTGACCCAGTCCGCGCCATCGCAGGGTGGTGGAGGTGGCGGCGGCGGTGGAGCCAGCGAAATCCGGCACAGGCGAGTCTCCTTGGATCTTGGCGATTTCAAGGGTTTAGGGTTTAGGGTTTAAGGGAACCGGAAATGAAGCCAGTTTGGGCCCTTCTTTTGGAAGCAGATCACCATTCGAGGTTAGGTCGGGTGAGGTTGCTAGAATGTGCCCAGGACAGTATTGACTATACTTACAATTACACTCCCCTGACGGCCCCAACTTAAGATGAACCCTCTGTAGCCCATTTTTTCAGAGGGCTGTAGTCGAAAAAGGACCCCTGTTCAGATTCCATGTTAATCTTGGGGGAATGCACGATTTAGGGTTTAGGGTTCAGGATTCAGGGACCCTAAACCCTAAACCCGGAACCAGGGGTTTAGAATTCAGGGCGCTTTGGGTCTCCACTTGGGTCTCAAACCTCGAAAGGGCTCTGCCTTTTGGATCCCTTAAACTCCCTAAGCTCCCTAAACCCTAAACTCCCAACCCTAAACGATCGAGGCGTGGGGGTGGTTTACGAGGTTCAGGGTGAAGGAACGGTTTGGGAGTAAGTTGTTTTTTTTTGGGGGGTGGTGTTCTAGGGCTTGGGGTTTAGGATTTATGTTCCCCCTCGAAAACATGGAAAATGGGTTATAATATATTCTATCTACTTAAGGGGGACTATAGGGGGGGCTTCTGGGGTGTCAGGAGGTTACTACGGGACTTCAGCTGCAGGCTGTCGCTGCCAGCTGTTGAGGCACGCTTCCACCCACCCGGGTCCCTAGTTCATACAGGTTCACACAGGGGCCCGAGAACAGTAATATACTGCATAGGTAACTGGGCTTGAACGATTACATGTACACTTTACCTGAGTGGTGGTTAAACCTAGTAAGATCATATTCCTTATCTATACCCCAAAAGGAGGATATAATGAGTACCATAGTATCCCCAAATAAAATACTACTCACCTCGGGACTTGCAGCATATAGGGATTCCAGCGGCAGTGCAGACTCCTCCATCAACCCCAAACCCTAAACCCTATACCCCTAAACCCTAAACCCTAAACCTCATAAACCCTAAACCTTATAAACCCTAAACCCTCAAAACGAACCTTCTTGGAATTTACTCCGTCGCGTCTCGGGAACATGCTCGGCGTCTGCGGCATGCATCATCTTCCACCTGAGAGATGATTTTAGGGTTTAGGGTTTCGGGCTATAAGCGTCAGGATTCCAATGCTGTCGTTCCTTGACATTGTCATCTCATGCAAGTCTTAGAAGGCCTTGTTGGGGCAATTCGCCGAGGCATCCAGCCTCAGGGCGTTCAGATCCCTTTAAAAACCCCCTCTACTCCCTTTGCAGACACACCTCAGCTTGGCCA